GCTGATCAGACCCCTGTTGCCTTCTTTGAATACGCTGGGTCCAATAGGCTCCGCAGCACTTAGAGATCTTCACGAGACGTGAAGTCTCCTCCTCCTGATGTTCATGGAGTCCTCCCTTGCGGGGTTCTCCTCGGAGTTCTCCAACTTGGGCGGAAACCACCCAAGCCTTTTATACGGCTAGCAAGCCAATTGCTAGCTGCCACATGGGAATATTTTAACACAAGCCAACAATGGGGCTCGAATTCTAATACAAATGGCGGGAACTCTTTGCACCGTGCATCTCTGTGCTGCAAAGAAGAAATGCACCCTGCAAAGAAAGCTCCAAAACAGCGGGAAAATAATTCAGTGGTGCCAAAGCACACACAAAAACAAAATCACACCCTTGGGTTGTGACAGATTCAAGGCATTCAAAAAATGCCAGCTCTTAGCTTTCACACTTCTTTTTTTTTTACTACAGAAAAATAATACAACAATTCTTCTGTTGCAAAGAACTCAGAAAGACCGTAACAGGGCAGGATGTGGATTATGGATTAGATTATGGATTTCTATTTGAAAACTCTGAGTCTATTATATGAATCGTGTTTGCACCCCTTATAGTACTAACATTGCTGAGCACTCTTAAAAACATCTCAAAACACCACAGGATGCCATGGCACCTTGGTTGAAAAGCACTGCCCTACATAATGCAAGTAATAACATTTTCCATTATGTAGGCTTTAAACCTGCAATTAACTTGATCCCAGTTACTTCACTTGTACTCCATCTAAGTGAAAACTGCCTACCTACATCCTCGTGCAGGATTAGAGCTCTACTGTATTAGTGGTCCAAGAGCTGGTGCTACAATTTTTTATCCGACAAAGAACGTAGTTAATTTTAACAGACATATTCTGGTGTTTTGCACAAATAAAGAAACTAACAAAAAAGACACCCAAGAATTTCTAAAAATCTATAAAAATACAAGAAATTAAAACTACTTTTTCCAAATGAACACCACTAAATTCCAAAAGGAAAGGAAAGTTAATTTACAGCTTGCAACAGCATTCAGTTTCATAGTTGGTAGGGTTGGAAGGGACCTAAGTCGATCATCAAGTCTGACCCCCTGCCATGGCAGGAAAAGAGTGCTGGGGTCAAATGACCCTGGCTAGGTGATTATCTAGCCTCCTTTTGAAGAAAAGATTGTAACAGGAATATCAGCAGAAATTTCAAGCTAGTTACTACAGCTCATTTATGTTATTTGTAAACAAATTGAGGAAGAATTTTTTTTTTAGGTTTTATGCTACTGAGATATTAGATCTGTGTAGCTCTTTCCCCATATGGTAAATGGGAATTATAATTGGTACATTTCCTCATAGGTTATTTTGATTTAATAATGTTTAAAAAGTATTTTGAGATCTTTGAATGGAAAGGGCTATAAAGATTTCTTAAATCACTTCTAAAATCAATTTCTTTCATGATGACCACAAATTATGGGTTAATAAATAAATAATAAGCAGTAAGAGTAATCTTTTAGTGGTTTCCTTATTGGAATTTTCTAGTGAATCCTGTTTTCTTGATGTCAGTCTTTTAAAAGTATATTCACTGGGACAAGGGCAGTCTTTATCATACCTTCTTGTACCATATTCAGCACAGTCAGTTATAAATATATGTAAAAATAAACATAATAAAGTATTCCATATTAATGTACCCTCTCATACCAAGTCAATAACTCAGTGAAAATTAATTGTCAACAGGTAATGGTTTATAGTGCTGTGAAATGTTCAATATTTTGCCAACAAGAAATATGACTATCAATCCAAGATGGCAGTCTAAAGCATCCCAGATAGTAATAACATGTTACTGATCCTTATCCTACCCCAAAAGAGAAAGACTGAAGTAAACAGCAGAATAACTCAAGGTTATTTGGAATTTCAGGCAAAAGGATGGAACTGAGTTAACACGGGAAGAGGCTTTCAAATACAGATTTAAAAAGGATGGGAAGAAGCACTATCTGATCATTAATGAATCAACTAAGGAGGACAGTGGACACTATACTGTAAAGACCAATGGTGGGAAGTCAGTTGCTGAACTGTTTGTACAAGGTAAAGCCCATATTATGCTGGATAATCATGGAGAATGAAATGTGCAAGGGGGCAAAGGTCACCTTGTTCATAGCAGTCTGAAGAGGTGAGATAGTTCTTATGCCCAGAGACAATAAGACTGAGTACACCATAATGGGAGGGATGATCATTAAGGCGACAAGGAACCCATTAAGAAAATTTAGGCCTGCGTGACAGATGCAACAGATACCATAATATCAGGTGCATGGACACCAATCCTGTTAAAGCCCTGCACACTGTGGATTTCTTTTATCTGCCTTCTGGCCTATTGATGTTTTTGCTGTTGCTTCACACATTTCACAATATTAGAGAAGAAGCTGGAAGTTTATCAGAGTATTGCAGACCTGACAGTGAAGGCACGGGACCAGGCTGTCTTCAAATGTGAAGTATCTGATGAGAATGTGAAAGGAATCTGGTTGAAAAATGGGAAAGAGGTCGTCCCAAATGAAAGGATAAAGATCTCTCATATTGGCAGGTGAGTTCTGCTTCAGAAATCTTGAGTAGGATTAAACATAACATAATCCCCTCTGGATAGTATGTGATGGGGATCTGATTATAAGCCAAGACTCTGAATTGACTTCAGCTTGCAGTAGGAAGTCGAAACCTTCCTTTGCAAAATGACCATGTGACCGTTCCTACTCTGTATGCTCTGCATTGTGTAGTATTGGTATGTACGTGCAGGCTGCATGTATGTATATCAAATGTTGGTGTGTATTGGTACAATAGATCATCAGTGCTGATTTTCAGCCTTCACTCAGCATTTCATGTCTTTGAGTGTTTAAATGGCCTAGAAATTACACTGATAGTCCCTTTAAAATAGTCATAATGAAATAGATTGATTGATATGGATAAAGAGATTTCAGTACTTTGAAGTAACTTCCTTCATGATAATATATTACCATTCTTAAAAGAATATTTTTATGTAAACATTTGCACATAAGTATGCATATTTTGAAACAGTTACTCATTATATAAAAAATTCCTTGGTACTCCTTTGAGGTTTTATCTGTTGAGTGTTGAAAAGAAGTGGATAGAGTTTCCACCTGGAGTTTTATTTGTTGTAACATTGGTTTGGTTTCCCATATTCTTGGGTGGAAGTTAACTGAGGCCATCTCCAAATGGCACTCTACTATGCAGGAAGTTATACCCTATGACGGGGGTATTAAACTCACCCCATGTCCCAGGACCACAGGACTCCTTGATGGACCTGATCCAGCATGGAGCATGAGGCACGGGACAGTGGTGATGGGAACAGGACCAGCTGCAATGGAACAAACAGTGATTATAGTGGGGATGGCAGTAGCTGTAGATATGGTGGGACTGGCAACAGAAGGCCAACCAGTTGTCAGCATAGCCACTGCTTGTTCTCCTACTGCTGATAGCCATGTCCACAGGGGCCCAAGAGACCTGGATTCTGCAGCAGAGCTCACCCCTCTCCAGCCATGCACCCTATTTCCAGTAGCCAGCTGGTAGCCTGGCAGGCTGGATTAAGTGATTTTGTGAGCCAGATGTTTGACACCCTCCTGTATGAGAAACAGACCAATGTTTCTGCTCATGCTCTTAAATGCTGATTTGACGCTGTGGAGAATAAAGACCTATCGTGTACCACAGTCTACAGATCCTCATTTGA